TCTCTCTCTCTCTCTCTCTCTCTCTCTCTCTCTCTGTCTCTCTCCCTCTCTCTCAGTCTCTCTCCTTCTCCATCAACCTATAAATTTATCTTTTATACTAAAAGCGTTATCCTATTTTTCTTTAGTCAGACAGAACAGTTATGTTAATCTAAAATGACATTCATACTGGGTGTACATAACAAACAATAAATAATAAACAACAAATTTATACTAAAATAATCGGATCAAAATATCCAAGATAAATTTATCATTAACTAAGCAATGAGGTTAAGTTTATCTTAGACATTTTCGTTGTTACAGTATCATTCTGTTTTTATACAGTTACCGTTACATACATCTAGGCGGAATGTTACGTTCTCAGTAAGCAATCTGTACAGTAAGCAGACTGACGTCATAATGGCAAGAGGATCTGTCGAATTCGAGCAGGATCTGTCGACAGATCCATAGTCATCTGCGTCCCCAATCTGCCGTCAGACTACTGACAGGATCTGCTAACAGACTCTGACATCAGATTGGTGGCAGATCGCGCGCAAATCCTGTCGTTTCGCAGGTTCTTCAATTAAATTTTTGGTAGAAAATTTTCTCATAATTTTTCATAATTATTCATAGAATGATCGATTTCTCATAAATATATATAAATACTCGTAAAATACAATAAAAAAAAGTTTTTCTATATTATTTTTCCATTATTTTTAAGATTTTCTCTGGTGAGATTCGAACTCGAACCGAAGACATCTTTTGAATAATCGTCCGTCGCCTTAGACACTACGCCAATTCCTCACTTGATAAAAAGTGCTGTGTATTGCCCATTTAAAGTTCAAGGAAGAAAAATCTTAGAATTTGTTTGCCTTTTAAACCGCAAAATATATGTGGGGTATTTTAATAATACAAGAGAATGGATAATTATACAGGAGAGAATCAAACGCGTTACGTCAACAACTTTATTACACACTCTCACTCACTACAAAAGAAACTATTGCAAAAGCAATACAATAACAATCAGCATAAGGTTACGCGCTTGCACTCGAGATACTCCGACTAGGTTGCACAGCTCAAGCGGCCGACCGCACTCTCATACACGCGCCACTTAGATTATCTAGCGCAGGTCGCATGCATTCACGCAGGAATGCTTTCTCGCGCCGTGCTGGACGCAGCACGGCGGACGGACGGAATGGAAACGCACACCACTCACGAACACTACTGTTCACCCCGACTACGCACATCGGGGTTTCGCTCTACAACGACGACCGGCAAGATACCGTGTGGAAAGGAACACAAAATGGCGGCTACGTACCGCACACGTGGCATGCACGTGCCCCGCGCGCCCGCACGGAACGTGCACGAAATGGCGGCTCACGTACCGCACACGTGGCACGCACGTGTAACACGACAGCCCGACCGCGACCTGGACAACGTGCGTCCAGGGGGAACGGCGCCCGACGAACACGATCCGCGTCTAGCACACGATGCTGGGGCACCTGCGAGGGCAGGGTGCCCGCGCGGAATACTATTGAACAGCAGCTCTCACGCCGCACACGCAGAGATCACGTGCCCCGTGGCTGCGGCGAGAGCCGGGACGACTGCGACCTGGACTACGCACGTCCAGGGCAGGGCGCTTAACGGACGCGAGCTAAAACCAGAGAGCGGACGGCGCGGACGAAATAGAGAACGGACGGCGCGGACAAAATAGAGAACGAACGGCGCGAACAAAGGAGTCTCTCTCACGCAGGAGAGCACCGCGAGAACGACACGTGTACCGGCGGGTCCACTCAACGACAAAGAACTCTCTCCTTTCTCTCGCTCGTAATCGCTCTCTTTGTGACTAACTGACTAGCTCTAACTGACTTTCTCTCGATCGATACTCGGATCGATCTTTTAATACAATACGTGGCGCCACGGCGAGGTTGCGAACAACTCGCGCGGCTGGAGTTTCTGCTTGCGGCGGTTGACGCGTGATGGCGACAGCCGTCCATCGCACGCACTAGGATGCGAAACCCGCGAAGCCGGAGGTGGAGGCGAAGGCGCCACATATAGACGAAATCGTTTAGCATATAAATAATGTAAGAGAGACCAGCACGATAATTCGAAATTAATTTTCTACCAAAGACTGTATAGAAAATTACTACAATAAAACAGCAGATAATGACATCATGCTAATAAAATATTGTATTTTTACACGTGCGAATTAATTTGGTCAATCGTCCAGTTCAGATTGTATTAAATTTTATCAAAGTCGAAGCATGATATATTTTCAAACCATCACAAAAATTCTGTAAAAATTATTTACATGGCAAGACTAATACTTTATTCGGTGCTGCTGCTTTCAGTACTTATTTCATGACGGTTAAATCGTTCAGATTTAATGACATAATAACATTAAAAAAAATAATAGTATGAGAAATTGTATGAAAAATTATGAAAACCATTTTTACCAGGGATGACATATGTACGCCTTTAAATGGCCATTTAACCGTTGTACTATTCTATACTTGTACTCGTTATTTTTCTATTATTGTATACTTTTTTATAAGAAATGTGATTTTGTTTGTTATAAGAAATACAATTTTAAAAAGTAAAAATTGTTTTTTTATTGTGTATATATGTGCAATTATTGCACAATATTAGGACCTTAACTTAGTTTCCGCCCGCAAATGTTAGATGGCAATGCAAACAGTTCTAGTAGTCATTACTAACGAAACAGGTAGTTTGTGATTAATTTCGACATTTCTCGATAACATTCAGTGAGCATA